AACGGTGACGTGTAAGTTTTAATCATGATGTTATACTGTGTTATTTGCTTTGAATTATAATAATTTTATAATAATTACATTTATTATATTTTGTTTTATGAGTCAATTTATTTAATAAAAAGAGTTCACTAATAATGTTTGTTTTTAATTTTAGATCATAATTTATTGGGCAAATTACCTGAAAGTCATATTTAAGAGAAGAGAAGTCTATTTAGTCTCACAATTTTTTAGATACTCTCAAAAGTCCACTACGTTTTTTCTTTCTCATTTTTCTCTGTGCATTATTTCTTTTTTACCTCTTTTCTCTTTTTGATTTTTGGTAATCAGTGACCATGCCTTATTTCTTTTCTTTTTCTTTTTAATATATAGTCACCGGTGACCGACGACAATTATTGATTGGGATTTACCGGCAACCACTGACATCGACTCTTTATTTCATCCTCACCGACAGCGAAAAAGACGAGTTTTCGGCAAAGAAGATGAGTAGATCTATTCTAATCTGATATAGATCTGAGTAGATCTACATGAGATCTGACTAAATTTAAACAAAAAATAATTGTTGGAGTACAATATTATTTCTATATGTATTTCTTTCCTTTGATTTCTCAAATTTTCTACCTTTTTTCTATTACACGGTTCTATTTTTCTATTTTAATGAAAAAAAATTCAAGTTCTGAATAAGTTGTTTTTAAGTTTTAGTTACAGGCAATGAAAACTGTAAAATTTTACAGTTTCTATTTTTTTTAGAGCTAAAATGAATTATGCTTTAAAACTGCAAAATTTTGCAATTTCATAACATTTTTTAGAACTATAAAATTTTACAGTTTCATAACATGTTTTCCAGTTTGATTAATTAGATAATGCTTAATAGAATTATGCTTTGAAACTGTAACATTTTACCGTTTCAAAACTTACTTTTCAATTTGATCAATATTAAAGATTATTCACTTAAACCCTACAAAAGTTAAAAAATAATATATATTTTTTCTCATTGTTGTTTGTTATTGTTATATTTTTCTTTCCCCTTTCAGTTTATTAATATTTAGCACATTTTGCTATGTTTTTTCACTATAATTTCTCTATTTATCTTTTTTTTCCCCGACAATATTCTGAATATTCCGGTGAGTTTCCGATGATGTTCTTGACGTTTTCTAGTGGCGTTCAGAACACTCCGGCAAACTTCCGTCGATACTCCAGTGATGTTGAATATTCCAGCAGGTCTCCGGTGACCGCCTGACGGAAGTCTAGCGATGGTGGGATGTAACAGCATTTTTAAAGTTATAAAAAATTTTTTTTTTTGTGACAATTAAAAAAATGTAGGACTAATTAGTGCAAATGTTTTGTTTTGAGATTAGATGGATTTCTAACTTTATGTATGGGACTTACTGGTAAGTGTCCCTAATTTATTTGACTTTTTATTTATTTATTTGGGAGAAGAAAAAAAAATAGAGATTTCCTTAATCCTTAAGTTATAAATTGTAATTTTTTAAAATTTATTTAAGACTCTAAATACGTATAGATAAAGTAACTCCTATCTTTTTTGGTTTAATTGTAAATTTTTAGGACATGTTAGATAATTGAAGAACAAAAGTTATGTTATAACGTTTTCTTGTTTGTTTTTTTTTATACAAATTATGAAAAGTTACACTAAACCAATTTACAACTTATTTTAAATATTTCAAACCAATAATCTAAAAATTTATTATCATAAAAATTAACTTATAAATTATATCAAATGGGGCCATTATGTGTCCATATTAGAAAATTATTAGATATTTCTGAAGTACCACTTGTCCATATTCTTTCATTAATCATTATTCACTATGCCCCTCATTTGTTTAATCACTCAATACAAAATCATAATATCACACATTTTTCACTAATCATAATACCATGGAGCACAACACAGGAATGGCAACGGGGCGGGGGCCGAGGATCACACTCTTCATTCCTGATCCCTGATGGTGAAAATTCCCCTGGCCCCAGCCCCGATCCCCAACAGGGAACCTATCACTCTCCCCGCCCGCGCCCCCTAACCGGGATCGGATTTCCCCGACCTCGAAAATCCCCAGCCAAAAAAAGAAAAAAAAAGAAAAAGAAAGAGCAAAACAGTAGCTTTCATCAACATCAACAACAACAACAACAACAACTATAGTCTACAAAATCATCATCAATGATCATCAGCATCAACATCAACAACAAAAAAATGTATATCTATATCTATATCTATATCTACATATCTACATATATATATATATATATCAGATCGAAAGAATAGTGAGAGAGGGCTAGAGGGTGACCAGTGGAGATCTGGAGACGAGGCAGCAAACGGAGGTGTGAGAGAGAGAGAGAGACAGAGAGAGAGACAGAGAGAGAGTGAGTGGTGGTGGTATTAGTGACGGTGGTGCGATCAACGGTTGACGGTGGTGCTCAGAAATGTTCATTGCGGCTCAGATTTGGAAGGAGCTCTCTGTCACCGATCTATCCCTAGACTTCTCCGTGGCTTAAATCTGGAAGGTGTTCATTCATCTCTCTCACAAAGAGTAAAGGGAGAAGAAAGAAAGAGAGATAGTGAGAGAGTTGAGAACCTGAGAGCCTAAACATATATATATATATATATATATGGGACTGTTCGGGGCTGTTCGAGGCGAGGCCGGGTCAGACCGGGCAGGGGCCGGGTCTGGAGAAGCTATCACCGTCCCCGGCCCCGGCCGACCCGGCCCGAAAATTGTCGGAGATTAAATTTTTAATGCCATCCCTGACCCTATGGGGGTAATTTTCGGGGAAAACCCGTTCTAATCGGGGTCGGGGGATCGGGTTCCAATTGAGTCGGATTCAAATTGCCATCCCTAACACCACGTGACCATACTCTAGTAGTACCCAATAATCACCCATCAATATGCTATTTGTAATAAATATGAGTAGTGACACCATTAATTTACTATATTGTGATACATGAAATGATAAATAAAATATTATACATAAATTTTTCATATTCCATTAATTTACTATATTGTGATACATGAAATGATAAATAAAATATTATACATAAATTTTTCATATTAACATTATTGTCATTAAATAATAAACAAAACATATTTTTTTTTTTTTTGGATAATGTTATTGCTAAAAAAAATCTACGCATTTGAAAATGTGAATATATATATATATATATATAAAGTTTAAGTTGGGTTTGGACATGATAATACCAAATGTTGTCTAAGTAAATCAGAGTTATATTAGTTTGCTTAGAGATTATCCCAAATATTTTTACTTAAATAGCAATCTAAAAAATGATATCTTGGTTGACGATACTATTATGCCTCTTCAGATTATTTTCCTTAGTTATTCAACAATAAAAAATGATTAAATATTTTATTTGCAACTTAATCAAACATAATATAATAATAACACTTTTATCTAATAATAATGATACAAATAATAAAACTTTATACAAAATTTCTATACCGAATAATGACTTCTTTTGATTCCTTCATTTTCAATCAAAATACAATCTATCATTATCTTTATAATTTAAAGAATGACACTGACACTTCATTATGAATAGTTTTTATGTATAAACTTTTTGTCTGTAGATAATTTTATTTTATATAATTTTTTTTAATCTCAACTATTTTCATTCAATTTCACTATAGAATAATCTTATTTAAAAAAAATAATTTTAACTAATGTATCATCCATTTCATTCAATTTTACCAAAGAATAATCATATCTTTGACAAATAATTTTAAGTAATATTTAACTTTTGAAATAAAAGTGAAATATAATATAATAATTTTATTTAGTTTCCAATTTAAATTTATCACAAAAATTGTTATATTTGTGAAATTAAAATTTACTAGTATCCCTTGTCTTGAGCGGGCGTTTTTTCCAATTTAATTTACTTGTTAAAATAATTTATTCAAAACTTCCATAAGTGAGATAATACATATCCAATATCACCATTTATAATCACAACCTTCCAATTTCACGTTTTCAATGTTAATCCCAATTATTTATGCAAAATAATAATTTAATCAAAATTAGGGTAGAATTCCCCTTTCACCAAATATCAACCCAAACATAAAAATCAACTATTTTGGCACAACATGATCTTTTATTCAAGCCTCATGCTCATTTACCTCATATTCATTAAAACCCCTCTTTTCATTTCACACCCAAATTCTAGATTTGTCCAAACCACAACCAAATCTCATCATCTATACACAATAGCAAATAACTAAGCTAAAAATCATATTAGAGTGTAGAAAATTCTTACCTCACGTTACAAGAAATTGCACTACAAGAATTAGCACTTTTGGCAACAAAAAAATTGGTCGCTAAAAGTCTATTTTTGGTCGGCAAAAGTTATCCGCGACCAATTTTTTTTGGTCGCTACTTTGGTCGCCAATTGAGGGTCGGCAAAAGTAATGCGCGACCAAAATTTTGGTTGGTCGGGAAAAGTCCGATTTGCCGACTAAATTTTTGGTCGTGAAATATATCAGTACCGCGACTAATTCGTTTAGTCGCTAAAACACTTTGGTCGCGAAAAGTGATATTTTCACGACCAAAAAATTTGGTCGCCAATTATCACATTCAACGACCAAAAAGTTTGGCCGCCAATCGTGACATTCCGCGACCAAAAAATTTGGTCGCCAATTGTGACATTCCACGACCAAAAAAGGTTTTGGTCGCCATTTGTTACTTTTTGCGACCAAAACTTTTGGTCGGCAAAACTAAGTTTCCACGACCAAGAGCTGTTTTGGTCGGCAATAAATGTATTTTTTGCGACCAAAACTCTTGGTCGGCAATTGTCATTTTTTGCGAAAAAAAATTATTTATTTGTCGTGACTAATAAATTGGTCGCCAAAGCAAGAAAACAATACACCTGTAATTCCTAATAATTCATTCAATCCATAATAACCTAAGATGTTATGCAAACTAATAATTCATTTAAAACACAAACTAGAAGTACTCAAGTGCAAAATATTGATACAATATAAAATAAACTTTCTATATATACATATGAGAAGGTACCATAGAAACATTGCAAATTCCAAATTCAAGATGTTATGCAAACACCATGACTAAAATACAAATAGCCCAAAAAACTATTAGGCTGTGAATAAGCTAGATATGTTTCTAAGCAACTGCAACTTCCTCCTGATAAGAGTCCGTTTGTGCTTTACTACAAGATTCCAGAGTATCCCGTGCTGATTCGATGACAACCTGACCATTGACATAGTGCTGGACATTGTGGATGCCAATAGGGTTCACACCTGGCCGAAAAGCATTTCCTTCAATATACCTGTGACAACATTTAATCAGTTAGCATTTGACCTAGTGTTGGGTAACTGTAATTTGCTTGTAGTGATTGAAGACAGAAACTCACATTTCTTTCAAGAAAGTGTGCTTATAGAATGCATCCGGGATTCTCCCAGTAAATTGATTATGATCCAGGTACCTGCAATGAAAGCAAGCTTAAGCTGCTGTCCCATGCCTACACAAAAAAAGATGCTGTCCCAGATACACAAATGCTACATGATGCAAAAAAAAGGGGAAAAGCAAATTAAAGAAGGGAAAAAAAAGGCATTACTTGTGATAAAAACAACAGTTCAAAGCCATGAATCAAAGCCATAAGGGATGAAGAAATCTTCTCAATATTGAAGATTGGGTCACAGATGTCAAGGAACGAAACAAAGTGTATCGATGAAATAGGAAACCTAACTCAACCTTGGTTCCACTAACAAACTTGTCCTGCAAATCCAAATACCTTGGGTGTCAATTTCATTGGTATGACCTTGTTGCATTGGTATGAGACAACTGATATGAGGCTATTAGATCAGTACAATAGTGACATTTATCACAAAATAATAAATTATAGGCATAATTTTATAAGGAAAATAAAGTGTGCAATGTAAATTTAAAGTTAGTGATTGAGGGTTATACAAAAAATACATCTTATACGTATATTTTAATTCTGGGTAATTTTTTTAATTCTGGGAAAAGATCAATTAATTTTAAACAAAATAAAAAGATACATACTAGGCGAAACAGGGGGTTGTTAAAGCTTTTTTTTTGGAGAAAGGTAAGATTAGTCTAAGGTTAATGGTGATAGTTCTATGGTGATGGTGATAGTTCCATCTATACACTACAATTGAGTGACACATCACACAGGTAAAAATCTATTTTCAAAGGTTGTACCCAGTACACAATTCTTGCTTTATAAGGGTTTGGGAGAGGTAATAGGTGGTCAACCTTACCCCTAGTTTGGAGACTCAAAAATCTATTCTTAAAGTATAAAAAATAAAATAAAAAACTACAGCATTTTCTATATATGTTAGTTACAGATAAGCATAACAATATTTTTCTATAGATCTCTTCCCACAGAATAGGATCAGGAAGGTAGTGAATCATATACAATTTTAAACATCACAAACTTGGAAAAAATATCATGCAGATTTTCATTATTTATCCTGTAACAATACCTCAAGTGTCACCAACATAGTGATGAACACATCCACACTTAAACTAGATTTTAGATACCTTTATTTAAAGCAAAAAAAATAAAGAATAGAATTGGGAAGAGAATAGAGTTTGAAATGTTTTTTGGTAATTTGTTATTGTTAACACATAAACATCATGCAGATTTTCATTATTTATAGTGAAATTCGCACAATTAATTCCATTATTTTAAATAACTTCACATTAATACATGTTTGCACACATAAACTATCTATATTTCAGTTTAAATATCTAAATGTTCACACGTGCACACACACACACCAGTTTAAATAGCTAAATGTTCACACGCGTATACATACACACAGAGACACATATACAGAGAGACGGGGAGAGTGTGGGTGTGGAGGACAACATTTGATTAAAAAGTGAGAAATCATATTGAAAATGCATAGACAAGCAGCTCAACAATGATGAGAATAAAAAGGATTTGCAAATAAATATTGTGCCAAAGCTTTTAATGAGTTAACTTTACTGGAGGTCCTCCATCACAAAACTCAACAGCCCCTCGGCCAACCATATTTCCCTGGAGTATAGAATCAATGTTATCATCTAATCTTTTGACCCCTGCAATATAGAATCAATAGGGTTTCTTTCAAATTTATGTACCGATATAGTATAATTACTCCTATAAGAGCCAATATTGTTATCTGAAATATAGTTTGAAGCTAAAACAATTAATTAGAATAGCAATCCACTCCCATTTCCTTTAAATGCCACCAAATTAATGTGCATAAACGATTACCACATTTGATAATTGGACAACCGGTTGCATCGTGTTCTTCTCTACAAGTCGTGTTTGTTATATATGGAGTTGTGCTGCTTAGTACTCCAAAGCTGGAACATCATAAATGTTCTTTGACAAAAACCACCTATTAACCTAATCAAACTTTAATGATAATTTTTACAAAAAAGAATTGTGGGAAAGAATGTTTTCTTTGGGTTTGTCTTGATTTTTTTGAATTGTAGTTTTCTCCAATCCTTTTTTTCTAAAAACTAGGGTTTTTGATAGAGAACCTGCTACTAGTTCAGGCAATTCTTCAAACTCAAACAATGACATTGAATTTGGTTACCATAAGAGAAATCCAGCTTCCAAAAATGAAAACAATGCTACAATAAACAAATTTATTTTAGTTAAGCATAAGCAGAAGTACTACTTGCACAACTAAATAATAAAAATATAATAGATTGCAGGGAATACAATACAAAAAAGAACATCTCTTACAACAATAATAAAAATAGGGTAAAATATATATTAAGATAGAACATGAACACAACTACCTCAAAAATCTGGTGCTGGAAAGAGATGATTCAGTGGGGGATACGATCTTCCTTCACTGAATTTCAAACCATACAACACTTCTTTCATCGCCTTTGAAATGTAATTGCCTATAAAGATAGACATGTATGCAAAAATTACCATTTTATAAGAAAAATGTAAAATGAAGTTTTTGCACAAGTACTATTGAAAGCTTGTAAACAACACATAGCTTTACAAACTCTCCCAAAAAAAGAACTTATCATATATATATATTTTTTTAAAAACCCATATATGTTCAATTTTTGTCAAAAATTAACTAGTCCAAAAAGCCTAAAATCATGAAACATACCTGTTAAGCTTTGTAGGGACTGCTCAATCTCCCAACAAGCCATTACTACTTCCATTGTGTGTACACAAACATGTTGTTGCAGCTGTTCTTTAAAAGAATAGAGCAATAGCACATAATGTGCCTACATTATAAAGAGATAAAAGATTAGAATTAAGACCACATTATAAATAATCATTTTCTTTTGAACATAGGACATGTTTATCTATCAAAATATATCTCAAAGTTGGCGGAATTGCTTCATGTCCATCAAGAACTCATCAAAACTAAGGCATGGAAAGGACAATAATAAATAAAAACCAAAACACAATCACCCCAGCCACTTCCAACACCTAATCTCAAATACAAGCTCTAATGTTATGGAAGTTAAAAATAAAGTTGCTCATTGAGAATTCCTTGAAAAGTGGTTTTGCTTTCACCCAAAAAGCCACATAATTTTTTATTTTTTTTTATTTTTTCTGAAATCTGATCCCACTCGCTTATCCCACCATTGAAAACCATTTCATTTCTAAATTTCCACAGCACCCAAAAGATTGCTGGGATAGATAACCAGATTGCTCTGACTACTAAGTTGATGAACACTCGATACAATAAAACAACATAAAAACACATAAATGTCTCACAAATTCAGCAATTAGGCACAATGTTGATCAAAAACCCACTTCATAAAAGCTAATTAAGAGTAATCAACATTTCAACACAAACTTGTATAAGTAAATAAACAGAGAGGGAGAGAGAAAAAGAGAGAGATTTGGGGAAAACCCTTAAACATATGCATAAAGACGAATAAATGATGTTTAGAGACCAAATAAATTCTGACAAAGAGATCAAATAAAAAAAGAACAAATTCTAATGAAGAGATTATAATATAATAATCAGTGACATCAATCTCATTCTTCAAGTAATCCAAAAGCCTAGTGACGAAAAAGAAAATGTAAGAACTAAACAGATATATGAAATTGATAGTTTAGAGATGAAATAGAACAAATGGTGATAGTTTAAGTGATAAAAGGTGAAATTAATTCTAAAAGAAAACAAACTTATCTCAGTGAGGGTTTGACAAAGTTTCACAAGCAGCTTAATCTGCCTTCGTCCAACCAACAACTCTTGACTGTGGTGGTTTCGAAACCCTAGCTTCATAGAGAGAGAGAGAGAGAGAGAGAGAGAGAGAAGCAACGACAGTTTCCCAAAACAAGAAAGAGAAGCAGTAGCAAAGAGTTGAAATCATTTGGTGAATCGCTTTTTCGATGAGACGATTCAGAGGAAAGAGAGGAGGAAGTAGTGTACCAAGTAAATACCCTTCTTCGATGAGACGATTGAGAGAGACTGAGACTGAGCTCTTTCAAATTTGCTCCATTAGAACCCTCTCTC